TATCAGGAGAGTCTAAATGTTTTGATCCCCAATTCCAACCCCGTACAATTTGGTTGGTAATTAGGAATAGTAATTCCCAGGGAACTTTGATAAATAGGACTGTGATCAATACCATACATTCTACAGGGGTGTTCTGCTATTTGATGCATGTAAGGCGATTTCTGGTAGTAGAAAACCTTGGAATGTATGTGGTAATCTTAAATGGGAACGAACTTATGGGTTTAATGATAAATACTTACGTCCCAGTAAAAGACCTACTGATCCTGATTGCCCAAATAGAGATTATAATTTTTGTCCCTATTGGTCTTGTGTAGGGTGGGCAACCTGGGGAAAAACAGTAGATCAAGATATGATTATCCAAAGGTTGCCTACCACGCCATACTGTAAATCTATGGAATGTAATCCGGTCCATATGACCATCTCTAATCCCCAGCATTTTATTGACAAATTTGGAAATATTTTTGGGTTCCAAATATATGGCACAGGAGTTGATCCAGGAACAATAATATATGTAGGTCTTGAAACTGAGACAGTGGCAACTCAAACTCATCAGGTTTTCCATTCCTTTTATGAGGAGATGAGTGTTGAGGATAAAATTCCCCATAATGTTAAGAACCTATTTATTGATTTGGCTGAGAGTATTGCGGGTAGTCTTAATGTAACTAATTGCTATGTGTGTGGAGGTACTAATATGGGAGACCAGTGGCCATGGGAGGCAAAGGAAATATGGTACCCTGGCTCTGAGACATATGAACAACAGATACCTTTTCAGTCTGATCATCAAGTAAATATTAGAAGTAAATCGGAATGGCGGTTAAAAACCTCCATTATAGGTCATGTTTGTATAGCCAGGAAAGGGACAATGTATAACACGTCTGTAGGTGAGCTAACTTGCTTGGGACAAAAAGCCTATAATGTTAATACTAAAAATACTACTTGGTGGTCAGCTTCAAATGTCTCGGAGCCTACTAATCCGTTTGCCAATTACACTCATTTAAAGGAGGTATGGTTTGACTTATCTGCTACATCTAGTTGGAAAGCCCCAGCAAATTTATACTGGATCTGTGGTAGGAAAGCTTATTCAGAGTTACCACAAGATTGGGAAGGGGCATGTGTATTAGGTATGCTCAAGCCATCCTTCTTCTTGTTGCCAATTGAGACAGGAGAGACCTTGGGAGTTAAGGTTTACGATGTAAATCATAAAAGGAAGAGAGCATCCTTGAATATAGGTAGTTGGGAAGATGATGAGTGGCCCCCTCAACGTATTATTAATTATTATGGACCTGCTACTTGGGCAGAAGATGGCACTTATGGATATAGAACTCCGATATATATGCTCAACCGCATTATTAGACTACAGGCGGTGGTTGAGATTATTACTAATGAGACAGCTCAAGCGCTTAATCTTCTAGCTAAGCAAAATACCAGGATGAGATCAGCCATCTATCAAAATAGATTAGCTTTAGATTATCTATTAGCAGTGGAAGGAGGTGTATGCGGAAAGTTTAACCTTAGCAACTGTTGTTTGCATATAGATGATAAAGGTCAGGCAGTGGCTGAACTCACTAGTCACATGGTTAAACTTGTGCATGTACCGACTCAGGTCTGGAATGGGTATAATCCTAATAGTTGGTTTGGAAGCTGGTATGAGCAGCTTGGAGGAATTAAGACATTAGTAGGAGGGGTAGTGTTTATCATATTCTTATGTCTTTTTCTGCCTTGTCTAATTCCATTAGTAGTATTATAGAGAGTACTATAGAAAGACAGCGGCTCATGTAATGGCTGTCTATAGATATGATCCCCTAGCTCAAAGAGAATATATTCAGGATGAGGAATGTTGAAGGAGTTTTTAAGATCTTTACAAGGTCTACTCTGGTTCAATGGCTACTTGAGAGATGTAGGTAAAACTGTGATTGGTGATGCATCTGGAATAATTTTGTATCAGAGGCATCAAAGGGGGGAATGTGGTGGAATTTCGGTGAATGTAAATTTAGTAGGCCAAGATTTCCATGTGGCATATGTGTATGTTGTGTCAGTTAGTTAGCTACACGTAGCTAGGATACTGTCATCAATATACTGAGCATGTGCAGGAATGCAGGAACTGAAATTGCACTTATTTCCTTTGTCTTGGATGGGCCATGTGGTTTGACTAGATGTACAAGTCTATATTCTGCTCATTGATTGGTTAAAGGTATATGTGGGTGTAGCTATTAATGGGAGGAGTTATAGTGCTATATAAGGAATGTACACCATGTGTTGCTCTCTCAGATCATTTGGAACAGGAGTTCATCTGAGACCCGATCGGTAATGTGAATAAAGGCCTCTTACTTCCTGAAGACTTGTGTCCAAATCTCTGTGTTTGGCTTCTGCATGCTTACACGGTAACAGAATGGCATGTTGCTACTCGGCCGAGGAGGCGTACGCCATTCTGGCAAGCATTGATAGTGACACTCTGCAAGACAGTGACACTATCACTGCCTCTGACATTGAGGCTATGACTGACTCCTCTAGTGATGGTGCCCCACCACCACCAACAAGAGGATGCTCAGTAATCCCAATGCCAGATGGAGACTGGGTGCCCCCCAAACCTGATGGCCCCAGATATTCCCCCATTTACAGCAACCCCTGGCATCACTGTTATGGTGGATGCTTGGGAGCCCCTAAAATATTTTGATGTGTTCATGTCAGAGGAAGTATTTCAGTAGTTGGTTGAGCAAACCAATTAATTTGCCAACTAATATGTGACTGTGACTCTGGGGTCGCATTACAATCGGCAAAATATGTGGCACCCCACGGATCGCGAAGAAATGTGCAAATTTTGGGCTCTAACGTTATGGGCATTGTCAAAAAGCCTAGTATTAGGTCCTACTGGTACAAGCACCCCATCCTGGCTACCCCTCTTTTCCCTTGGGTTATGAAGAGGGATCGCTATGAGCAGCTGCTGCATTTCCTCCACTTCAACAATAACACACTGTGCCCCCCAAGAAACGACCCATTGTTTGACAGGCTGTACAAAATTCGTCCCTTAATTGAACTCCTGTCAGACAAATTCTCCCAAAATGATGTCCCTGAAGAAAATATTTGTATAGATGAGTCCTTAATGAAGTTTAAAGATAGATAACTTTTTAAGCAGTTAAAAAAACTTCTAAACCCTTCTAAACGGTCCCAATACGGTGTTAAATTTTACAAATTGTGTGAATCCAAATCTGGATATACATGGGTGTTTCGTATTTATCAGGGGAAGGATAGCCATCTTGACCCACCAGGATGCCCTGATTTTGTGGGTACATGTGGCAAGATAGAAACATAAAAACATAGCTTGTCTAATATGGCTTGGTGCTACTTCCAAGTGCTGTTTCTAAGTGTGTAGTTGGAGATATTCTGGAGAGTTTTACAGAAGCTTCAACTGTCTAAGAGTTGTGCTAAGAGCTTTCTTTTCTACTGTTACAGGTAAGATTTATCTGTAGGAAAAGGTTACTGATTGCCCAAGGTTTGAATTCCTGTTGGTAATTATAAGGCATTTGATTAAGCTAGTTACTTGCTGTTGATTGCTGGTTAATTAGCTATTGTTTGCAAATAAGCAGAGGCCTACCCAGGTGTTAAACATTCCTAGTTGGCGGTGATTTAAGGAGTTATATAAGGCTTGGTCTCATTAGCTTGTCTAATATAGCTTGGTGCTACTTCCAAGTGCTGTTTCTAAGTGTGTAGTTGGAGATTTTCTGGAGAGTTTTTCATAAGCTTCAACTGTCTAAGAGTTGTGCTAAGAGCTTTCTTTTCTACTGTTACAGGTAAGATTCATCTGTAGGAAAAGGTTACTGATTGCCCAAGGTTTGAATTCCTGTTGGTAATTACAAGGCATTTGATTTGATTAAGCTAGTTACTTGCTGTTGATTGCTGGTTAATTAGCTATTGTTTGCAAATAAGCAGAGGCCTACCCAGGTGTTAAACATTCCTAGTGGGCGGTGATTTAAGGAGTTATATAAGACTTGGTCTCATTAGCTTGTCTAATATAGCTTGGTGCTACTTCCAAGTGCTGTTTCTAAGTGTCTAGTTGGAGATATTCTGGAGATAACCTGGAGGTATTCTGAGGTATTCTGAGGTATTCAGGAGGATAAAGAAAAAAGTTAAGATTTGTTAGATTTAAATTATTCTCATAATTGGAATGGCAGACTTAGTTCAGTGTAACAATTGCTATGCATTTGTTTCACGTTCCACTTTTTGGAGGTTTGGTTGTTGTCTAATCTGTAGACAGTTCTCTATCTTGCGGCAGGAGATTGTATTTTTGAAGTCTGAGATTTGTAAATTATCTGGTGAACTAACTCAGACTGGAACTGCTGCAAAGCCACTGCCGCAGAGACATGCTAGGAAAGGCAGATGGATTACTGTAGGATCTGGTAGACTTAGAGTTGTGGATAAAAGGCATTTTGCACAGTCTGTTGCTCTTCATAATTCATTTTCTGCACTTTCAGAGTGTAATGGTGTTGTGGAGAGAGGCACTGAGGCTAGTGGTGTTGTGGAGAGAGGCACTGAGGCTAGTGGTGTTGTGGAGAGAGGCACTGAGGCTAGCGGTGTTGTGGAGAGAGGCACTGAGGCTAGCGGTGTTGTGGAGAGAGGCACTGAGGCTAGTGGTGTTGTGGAGAGAGGCACTGAGGCTAGTGGTGTTGTGGAGAGAGGCACTGAGGCTAGTGGTGTTGTGGAGAGAGGCACGGAGACTATGGTGAGGCCTAATAGAAAGCAGTT